GTTAAAATGAAGATCAGATATATGTATGTTGAAAAATGTTGAAAAAGTCAAACATTTCAATGGGGTGTATTTACTTTTTCACATCACTGTATGGGCAGATTGAATGGAGATGAACAGGGGAATACATTTTCACCTTCCAGGAATAAAATGTCAATTGCATATATTTTCCTAAAGTTTCTCTAGCATTACATAAATACTGTATATGCAAAAATATTTTTCCAAGTCTTGCCATTTTGCTATTCAAAAGATATAAAATACTTGTACAAATTTGCAACCTAAGTCTACTTAATTAAAAAAATCTAAGACACTTTAAAGACAGCATTATTCGTATGTTCTTGCTCAGTAAACCTTTTAGTATTTACAAAAGTATAATTAATCTCTATAAAAAAATTACATCAACAATAACTCTATAGTACAAAGCACATGTGACAGCTTGCCCTAAGACCATTTGAAAGAATTATAGGACAGTTGCTGTAACATTCTATCATCAGAAAGTGCAATAAAATGATAATAGCCTGCTTTCCAAATGGTAGTACAGAAGATCCTGACACAATATATTTCCTGGATAAAAGTGGGAAAGATGTCTACAGCCCTTAAAACAGCCTTGCGGGTGAGCCAAAAGCCAAATTATAAAGCCACTTGAACAGAGACATTATCTGACAAATAATGAGGTGATTACACCGGCTCAGAGGACTGACCTCAGTGAAAGAACACCAGAAAAATTACTACCAGAATAGCTCTTTTGACAAGAATTGGATTTATAACTGCTCTTGAACTTATATGAAACCGTAAAGGGGGAAACAGATGGAAGCCAGAGAGAAGAAAAACAGGAAATCGAACAGGCATAGATAGGACACGTGTGAAAAATGCTGCAACCACATACTGTTTCCATTTTAAATTTTGAGAGCCAGGATCGAAAGGGGAAGATAACATTTCAGAAGCAGATAAATTGCTGGTTCTGGAGACATGAAGCTCTGGATGTCACTGTCAACTGGGAAATAGCTGGACTAAATATACCAAGAGAAAGAGGACCATCACTAAGCCACTCTAAACCCACGCATCCTAGAGAAAGACGACGCTCCAAAGGGAAGCCATTGCTGCAGAGTAATTGTTGTGAGGAAAAATGGAATCGAATGCCTCGTACACCGCTTGGCGCTCCCAGAAGAAAAGGGGGTAGAAGTCTAATAAACGAACAAGTAACAGAAACGAGGTAGGACAAGGCCCGGGTCAATCCTGTTTCCCACGGCTCCCCTCTTTCGCACATCTCCGCGAGCAGATGGAGGCCCGCAGGCTCACCAGTGAGCGCGGGAGTCTATACCCTCATCGCGGGAACGATGGAGGTGCTCGGCGGAGGACGGGAGAAAAGCCCCAGAAGGCGCGGGAAATTAATAAAGGGGGGGCTGCCCTTTGGAAAACACTACCCCATATCGGGGAAAGAGAGAGATGAGAAGCGAAACCCTCGACACCACGTGAGCGCCCGTTACCTACAAAACCAACCCCTCAGCTGCTAACAGTCACGTGCGGAAAAGGCCTTCCCAGCCACGCTGCCCCCTTCACGCGCATGCACGCTGCCTCACTTCCGGCCGCTCTTTTTATTCCCTGCTCCACGAATGAGGCTGGACAGGTTTGGGTGGGGCGAGGACGGGTGGCTCCTCCTTCTTTCTCTGCCTCCGGGATGGCTCGTGCCGTGCCGTGCCGTGCCCCGCCTTAGCGCGCGAGGGTTTCTGGAGCGAGGCTGGCTTGTGATGGTTTTGTGTCGCTATTGCCCTGAAAGAGCTGGGGTAGTTTTAAATAGGGAGCTAATGGTTTGGTTGAGTTTGGCTGCAAAAGAGGGGAAGAGAGGTTTCTTCATTCAGCCACAACGTAGCTGAGGGATTTGCGGTTCAACGTGCCATGAAAAATCAGAAAAGTGGCCCAACTGAGTAATCTGGCTCAGTTGATGATGAGTAAGGGCATCACGTGAACAGTTTTTGTTTGTCTTGGTTGATGCAACAGCATCTGTGTGTCCCTTTTGTGAAAACTCTTTAGATCTGTTACATAAATTCCGCTCAAAAGTAAGTGAATGCGTAGTTTCTGGAAACCTAAGTCAGTGCAACCTAAAAGTACATTTGACTTTTTAGCAGCAATGTTATACTGTAACTCATACTTAGTTTGGGATCAACTTTTTTTTTTTTTGATTGGATAACTTCAAATCAGGGACTGCCTGGACAAGTCTCTGCAATTTTCTTGGCAAGGTGGTTTGCCCTTTCCTGCTTCCAAGGCTGAGAGAGAGAGAGACTGGCCCAAGGACACCCAGCTGGCTTCATGCCTAAGGCAGGGCTACAACTCACAGTCTCCTGGTTTTTAGCCTCCTGCCTTTAACCACTACACCAAACCGGCTCTTGGGATCAACTATAATTCCAAGATTTATCTTGTTGCCAGTATATAGCAGCATGGTGGAGCCCATATGGTGAAAGTTTGGAAGTTTCAAACTTCCTGTCCCAGAAACCTTTTAGGTCTGCACACCCATGGTCAGCCCCTTCCTTGGTGCGCAGTAGCTTGGTAGTTCTTATGGCTCCCACCATCTTCCAAGAGGAAACATTTGCTTAGCCTCTTCTCCACTACCTCCAGTGTATGAGAGAAAAGGGGTTCCCACAGCATGTGCATCTTGTTGAGTAAAGGAAAAAAAATGATAAAAGGAGAAATTCTGTAGCCATCTCTAGGTCTGTAATTGTGTGCAAGGGGAAATCAGCCCATTTTCCTTTGTGGGTAGAAGAGATTAATAGAATCAAACTTTATTTTTTAAAAAGGAAATGCAATGTCTTTTTAGCTTTAAATATTATACAAAAACAACAAAAATATTCCCTGGTAGAGGAGATAAAAATACGGGGCTGTTCACATCAGCGTCTTAGAAAAGGTTCCTGCATATATGGGAGGCGGGAACAAAAATACCAATTTCAATCCTTCCAGTCTAGCCTATAGTCCAGGGATTCTATGTGGTCTCCCACTAAAATTTTAACCAAGTGAAATCTTGCTTAGTGTTTTTGAGATTATCCAGGGTCCTGTAGCTGGTACCATTTAGCTGAATGTTTCCCTCAATATATCACTCCAGTTTGATGGGGAACCATTTATGAACATACTTTGAGTATCATTTTCGAGACAGTTGTGGATCCACCTAACAGGCATGCCATGTAGCCATACTTAACTAGCTTGCTAATCAATATTGTGGGCTATGTAATTCTTGCTTCTGCTGTGAAGAGCTGAACATTTAGGATGTGATCCATCTGGTCCTGGAGATCTGAACTGTGTTCCTGTCAAGTTGGAATTTTGCTCTTTTAACTATTAATAACTAATTAAATTGTCAGAGGGAACACTGCTCAGAAAAGATTGTGCCAAAACAAGAGTTGAGTTCTGCTTTTTCTTTCTGATCTGATATCCTTTTGCTATCTTTGTTGAACAGCTGACATGGTTTCTTTTCTCATCCCTTTCTTTTCAACATACATGACAAAGCCATTTATTCTTAGTATCTTTTGTTAACGTGGATTTATTCTGAGCATTTGCTTTCCTGGCATCATCTCCACAAACCCAAATTGCCATATGTATCCTTCTTTGGTGACCTGTCCCTCTTTCTACTTCTTGCATGTGTCTTTTGATTTTCTGTTTTTCACAAATGTTTTTGGGTAGTCACACTGACCTTCTTCTATTGGTTTCCATTTTTCCTCATTGGAATTGTTTGTGATTGTGCTTTCAGTATTTCATTTTTAGAATTCCTATCCATCTTGTGCTCTTTTTCCCATTAGCTTCTCTTGTGGTGGAATCCTGCTTATAATTGCTCTGAATACATAAAAATAATCTTTTTTTAAAGTTCAAAATATGCCACTCAGCTTCATTTTTCCTTAACATCAAAAATTCTTGCATTAGCTGCTCATTCCCACCCCCAGTTCCTTTTTCTTATATTTGCCTGCTAAGTTTTTCCTAAGGGTTAGGATCAAATCAGAGATAGTCTTCCTCTTCTGAATGAGAAGGGTGTAAATAAAACTAGTCAATACAACAGTTCTTTCATTTCTTGGAAGTTCCATGCTTGGCAGGGTTTGACAGCCTCTTCCACAACTCTGATGGAAAAAAGATTGTTAGCAAGACAGTCAGGAAATCTTGGAAGGACCATGCTTTCAGGGTTTGTCTCCCAACAGATGTGGGGATAATAAAGTGCAGGTAAACCAGCACATAGGCCATGCAGGATAGGAGAAGAGAGAGAGAGAGACAAGGTACACCATATTTTCTCTACTCACCCAATAAGATTTCTCCAGATTTTGTTTCAAACACTGAAAATGTTCTGGATTTCAGTTCTGCTGAACTGTAGAACATGTAGAATCGTTTGGCAGAACTTCTGAGGCACAATGTATTTTGTTTGAATTTGAAACCATCAAATGTTCTTTGTTGTGTACACAGTATCTGCTTTCCAGTACAAGCTTATCTTGTTTCCCACTGAATATGGGAATATGCTGTATGGTCAGCAAAGGCTATGAATTTTGGCTTAATATTCTTCCTGATTCTGTGGTTTAAATATGCCCCAGATTAATTGCCTTTTCAAATCTGAAGGGCACAAGTCTTTACCTGAAGTTCTTTCTGCAGCCCACACAAGAGTCAGATTGCTCTCCTGATGAAGTTCAACAAGAAATTATGGCTTCATGTGATATGCGAATTCATCCTAATTATCAGATAAGTTTACTCATGACTAATGGCCATAACAAGGGAGTTTCTTTTCCCCCTCAATTAGTAGTATTACATTTTAAGTATGTTTCATTAGAGCTGCCCACATAACAGTATTTCAAAATAGAACTCCATGTTTTGTTCTTTATAAAAAAGAGTGGTCAAGGCAACATGATTGTTTCAGAAGTATGGCTAAGAAAGCTAGAAAGTAGGACATTTTGGAAGCATGGTGAAGGGCAGGTTTCCCCAATGATATCCCCTTAAACATTTGTACTATAATTCTCATCATAACTAAATTAGGCACGCTGGATGGGAATTAGCCAAAAATGTCTGGTGGTCACCCAGGTTGGGGAATTCTGCTTAAGGTAGTCATTATGTCTTCCTGGAAATAAGACTAATGGATTTTATATACATCAACTTCACTGAATGCAGCAAGAGTTCTGAGAAGATGTCCATGGAATTGTCCTATGAGTAGATGGAGTAGAACTGTGTAACCTTTGAAAATACTTGGAAGAAATATTTTGGACCTTATGTGAAGCAGTATCGCTCTGCTATTTGTTAAAGTGCACATATTTTTTTCACTTCCACACGACTCTGAAAAAAGATGCTGCTGCTTTAAGAGTTGTATTTAAAGATGCCAAGCTTTATTTATTTCAATATTTTTCTTGGATCACATGGTGTACCTGAATTAATGTCAGAGAGATACCGTGCTCTCACTTGGAGATCTGAAACAGTACTTCCAAATCAGTATTTGAAATGTGCATGGCTGTAGATGGAAGTCCAGAAAATTATTTCATTAGAGATTGTTTCAACAAGGAAATGTTTATCATTATTATGAAACATAAGAGCTCTAATATGTGATGTACCATACAAGTATTTTCCAGGTTGGAGGAGAGACCCTTTCTAAAGATCCCAGGCAGGCTAGTGAGTCCAAAAACAAACAAAAATTGAGATAGACCAAATCTCACCACATACATCTTTCTCTCTAGTAGAATGACTTATGATTGCAATTTCTTATAATGGGTCCCTCACAGTAGTAGTACTTCTCCAAATCCTAGGGGTGTTTTAGACCTAACCAAGCAGCTGTTCAAACTGTTTTAACTGCCTTTTCTTTTAAAGTTACCCTGTCATGGGAATGTGAAGTTGTTGGATTGCTGTTCATCAGTTTATTGTGTGCTTATACTTGATTGTTTTGTACTGCAGCTCTGCCTCCCATTTATTTCAGAAATGTCAGATTGTCTGATCCATTTTCAAATTTCAGAGGTGCAATAATCACAATAAAATTGCTTGCACTGATACTCAATGACCCATAACTGTCATTTATTCAGATCTTAACCAGCTAAAAATTTCAATCAAAGATAGGGAGCCTTCCCAAAAAAAAAAAACCAGCCTGAAGGCAGTCTTTGTTCATTTACCATCATTTATTGTAAGAAGAGGGGTTGTTACCGTGCAATCTCTTTTGTTTCATTCTTTGAAAGACCGTCAGTTTAAGGTGAAACTGGCTCAAACACTTGTTTTGCATGCTCATTTTTAGACTAGGCTCCATTGCAACTGAAACCAACTTTTAAAAATAATACTACATTTGTGTTTGGATTTAGCATTCTGCCTGGAGTTCCCAAGGGATTATGACATGTTAAGCAGATGCATGAGAGACATTCAAAAAGTAAATAACCTGGTTGTGAAATATTTGGGGAGCTCCGTTGTTTGCCATTGTGCTTTTAAGGGAAGTGTAAAATGTAGAAATCAGTAACAAATCTCATTCATGTTGAGCCCAATTCCTAATGATGGTGGATACATTCATGTAAGTTCTTGATAGCAATATGGAGTTCTTTGGGTTTGTGGCAGGATATA